ATACTTTTTAAAATTATTTCTCAAAATATATTCGAAGTACTTTATTTAATTATTGCCTAAATAACCGTGCCTTTTTGTAACCGTGCCGTTGTATCTTTTGGGACTAAGGCTTGGATGTTGTTGTTGTTGTTGTAACCGTGCCGTTTTGTTATGGGAACCTTCTAATGGGACGGAGGGAGTATAGTTTTTTAATAAAATTAGCAAACAATCACATGCAAATTTTTAAAATATCATTTAGTGTAAATTCAGCCTAAATGTTTGATTAAAGGTACTAAATGGATGTCCATTCCCCTCTGGGTTTGTATGTGATGCATTCCCTCTTCGTTTGTATGTATGTTTTTTGTGGTATATTTTCATTTTGATTTATGTGAAGATATTAGTCACATACTCACATACAGCATTAAATTAGAATTAGGGATGGTTTGCAAGAAATTTTGAAAACAACTTTCAGGCTTCTAAAATCGATTAAATCTGATGAAAATTTGACATATGTAAAAAAAATTCTGAATCGAAATCGCTCGACTTTGTTGAATACTTGAATTATAGAAAATTATATATAAAATACTCTAATACTACATCCGTCCCGTTAGAAGGTTCCCATCCACTTTCCTTTTTTGGACGTCCAGTTATACAACATTAAATTATCGCTGAACAAACAAGTTGAAATTGGTGCTTTCATATGCTTGCTTATGGTTAGACTTTTTACTTTGTTTTTGGTCTGTTGGCATTAGTGGTTTTTTTGATGCGCTTATGGTCGTGATTTGCCTCGAAGCAATTCGGATAGTGGCATGTTCAGCGAAAAGTTTTGCTCTATTTTGGGTGATTTTTTCTATGTCTTAGCAGGAATTAATGGGACTTTTCGACTATTTTGAGTTTGTTGATGTAGTTAAGAGTAGGGCTGGCATTTTGGATCGAACCGAACCGTTTTGGAAAAAAACCGAACCGAACCGAACTGATATAATTTGGGACCCGAAAATTGAGACCCGAAAAAAAAACAGTTCAGAATCAGTTTATGATGCCAATATATCGGTTTGAAACGAACCGAACCGAACCGACATTTTATTAATAATAATTATAATAAATTTTATAGTTAATGACCTTTAGTACTAGTGACATATTCTTACTATTATTGTATTAGTGACATATTCTTACTATTATTGTATTGCAATCAACAATTGCGTGTTACCATTTGTATATATCTCAACATAAAAACTGATCTTTGTACGATCGGCCCCTCAGTGCCATCGTGTCATCACCACGGCCGTCGCCGCTATCAGTTTATCATACGAAGATCAGTTTTCTCTCCGCATGAGGTCTTAGGTTCAATAAGCCCCTAGTCTCATACATTGCACCCATTCATACATTCATGCATCACATCTCATACATCCATACATACACACATGCATTATGTCTCGTCCTTTCTGCATCGTCGGTTTATATGTGCATGGGCCTCTAAGCTTCTCGGATTAGAAAACCCGAGTCGGGGTCCTCTACTCTCGCCTGATGCATTAGGGGGAGAACATCTGGGGAAGAGCATCCTTTGCCCGATCCAGTCAGGAGGAGGTGCATCTTACCGACATATTATGTTCGGAGGGGCAGACACCTACTCGTATAATAGGATTGCTCGAAGACACAGGTCCAAGGAAGACAAAGGAAGAGCGCGGTCAAGATTATACTTTCTTGAGCAGATTCGCACGCTCACTACTCAAGAAACTAGGGGACTTGTGTTGGGATATATTATTCCGGCCTACTACTATTCAGAGGCCCAAGACATCACCCTGGAATAGAGCCCGGTCGGTGAGGCCCATTTAGACCTACCCGGATCATTTCGGCCTATCAATGCTTTTCCGGCCCATTAGGGTAGAAAGCCCCCCCCCCCCCCCCCCCCTCTCTATAAATAGGAAGCAAGGCTTCCATGTTAAAGGATCCTTTTTGGCTTTTGAGCTCTTCTCCCTACTTCTTCCTCTCTAAAACTTACAACCTCCATTAACGGAGGTTCAATATTTGTACTATGTAAATGATGAGGAGAGTATTAATGAGAAAGAGAGGGTTTGGACATTAGCCTAAAAAGTCTCGTGGTTTTCCGGGTTTCCACGTAAAAACAGAGCATTCATATATATTTATATTTATATTTACTATTTTATGTTGGATTAAGCTCAACAATAAGCATAGATTGTTGGTATTTGTAGTATAATAATAGTAATACTAAGTATTAAGCAATATAAGTAGGCCTATCAATGGGTTGGGTCCGAGCGGGAACGTAGTGTATCAGATCCGGACCCGCTAAGTTAATAAAGGAACTGAGCCCGTATAACTGGTTGGTCTGAAAAATTGGACCCGGAGCCAATGGATATGAAAACTGGGTCGGGTAGATCCGCCAAATATGATATGCACAGCATTATAAACTTTGTGGAAATAACAAGACCTGTATATAAAACGTACAGTAAAGTGCATAAAATAGCTACACTCCTCAATTGTCATTATCTATAAACAAAATTCAAAAGCAAAAACATTTCCTCCCTTTTCAAAACACAGAATTTGAGGTTTCACATAGAAAATCAGTACTTTTATCCAAGTTAAAGGATCGGTTCTTGTAAAGGCGCATGACTACACACGGTCTGTGTCTCTTTCTCTCGCACAAAAAGTGCGTAGAATAGACTAGAAATTAGGTTACAAAACAATCTCTTGGGCTACAAAGAGTATAAAAGCATATTATATACTTTCTCCGTTCTTTTTCAGTTGCAACACTTCCATTTTCATGTTTGCCAATGATATAAAAATAAATATTGGGCTTTGCCTACCGAGCCCTATACACACTTTATCCATATCACTTTATGGCATCTTAGTATAACTTATAGAGTAGATATGTATTAGTGTGTATGTAAATATATTAATAAGAAATTTAAACAGGTACATGTCCTCAAAAAGTCGGAATCATATGTACCACGCTCGACCCATTTATTAAAAATACTAACAGATTTGAGTTCAGATAAACGGTATGAAATATGAACTCGTACCTGTTAAAAACAACCGGGTCTGCATCTAGACTCGACCCATTAAAAGGCCTAAATATAATATAATGATACTTAGTATTACTAACACTTATACTAATAAGAAACATAATTATAAAGATAACAATTATGATAATGATAACCATAATTGTACTGATTATGATCAATATTTAATTATTTATATTCATATTACAACAATTTTAATTAAAAATTATAATAGTGATAATAATAATAATAATAATAATAATAATAATAATGATAATGATAATGATGATGATGATGATGATGATGATGGTGATGATGATGGTGATGGTGATGGTGATGGTGATGGTGATGGTGATGGTGATGGTGATGGTGACGGTGACGGTGACGATGACGATGACGATGACGATGACGATGACGATGACGATGACGATGACGATGATGATGATGATGATGATGATAATGATAATGATAATGATAATCATAATCATAATCATAATCATAATCATAATCATAATGATGATGATGATGATAATTATAATAATAGTAGTAGTAGTAGTGATAATATTAAAAATATTAATAATAGTAATAGTAATAATAATAATAATAATAATAACAATAATAATAACAAGAACAACAACAAAACACTCAATCATATTAGAGAAATTAAGATTAGATCAGAAATGTTTCAATCAGATTAGAAAGATTCAGATTAAGTAGAGTCATATAAAAAATATTCAGATCAAATCAAATAAAAATATAAAAAGTTCATATAACAAGCATTCAGAGCAGACAAATATAACATATGCTAAATGTTACAAAAAAATTAAATAATCAATGATTCTTGTATGGAGTCATATATCCTATGGTGGACATCACCATCACCACATTTTGTGTGTGGAGGTTCCCACTTAAAAATGTATGATGATGGTGATGCCCACATAGCATGACTCCATACAAGAGTCACATATGGCTCCCTTCTTTGATTTAATCGCTAATTTAGTGTAACTTCATTGCAGTTTTGTTCCAACGAATGTCTTACCAACATTGCTCCCTCAGCCGCTCGAGGCATCAGTAAATAAAAATATCTTTTGAGTAAGAATTGTGTCGATCTTTGATTGGAGGCGGACATCACTTCTAATCATGTAAAGAATATGTTTTCTTAAATGTTTATTATCTATTCTATAATAGTAACCAAGTTACAAAATAAAACCTTTGAGATTAAAAGGTGTACAATGTATTTTGGTTACTAATAAAATAACACTAGATAAGTGATCGCATATGAATGAAGAAATCTAAATATTGATCACTAATACGACAGATAATAAGAAAAATATAACAAAGAAAACAATTTTTGAAGTACTTAAACTTCTCATTTAACACACACACAATAGAGCTGGCTTATCACAATTATTTGTGCGAACCACTGTTGTGAGCCACTATCAACTTTTCACAACTTTTCACTTTAAAAAGGCAAAAATAAAAAGAATAATAATACTTCCTCCGTCCCGAAAAGGTTGGCCAAAGTTGACTTTCACGTGGATTAATAAAGTAAAAACTATATGGTTGAAATTTGTGCAGAAGAGAGAGAATTAATTTTAGCCACATATTCCTTAATTTAAATGGAAATGACAAATCTTTTTGGAAGATCCAAAAAAGAAAATTTGGCCAACCTTTTCGGGAAGGAGGGAGTGATGCATGAAGTGGAGGTAAGGATTCAAACCCTCAACAACTTGGAAGAATTGATACAACCATTCATCTCTAGCTACTATGTACTTCTCTGATAGTAACGCTAGTAATGGATATATTAAAAATTTTGATTAACAATTTTTTTAATTGAACTTATTTTAGTTCCAAATCATTGCAGACTTAAACATAACATTTAGACTTTTACAAACCAGATCAAATTGGACTTTGACGACAATTATAAAATACACAGAAACCAGACATCTACCGAACCAAATCAATTAACACTAAAACATACTTAAACAGACCAAATCAGACCCAAAAAAAATCAATCCTAAAAACATCCTAACACTCACAAGTATATTCAAATATATAGTGTGAAAGCATTGCACAATAGTAGCTAACAAGCTATATGCATATGAAAAGAAGCTAACTCTAAACACAAGAAATTAGCATGAAAAAACATGAGACTTAATGGCGTTCAATATATACAGCCAGCTGTTAGAAGTATATGTTTGTAGACAGTCACTTAAAATACATGCTTGAATGCTTGATGCACTCCATCATACTAGTATATCATCATCTCCATCATCTGATCGGGATTTGAAGAAGCCTTTCACCATCGCTTTCATCAAAACCAAAGCTTTCATCTCCTTCATAATCCAAACTAATCACAGTTTGCTCTTTTGTACGAAGTTCATCACGTTCTTCTCTTGGAGGTTCAATACTCTCCATCTCAGACTGTATCAATGCGTCCATTCTAGCTCTTTCTCTATCCCTTGGGTATGTACAATATAGGAATGAATAGACAAAGCAACATATTGCCATAGGGAGTCCAATGGCAGTGTAAAGTGCCTTAGCAAGTGATGCACCATTCTCCCGATCCGTTTTGATTCCTCGGGAGCCCGTTGATCCCTTTTGAATAGGTTTGAAGCCATAGACATGCTGAGCCAAAATGCCAACCACTGGGGGAGCAAATGATGCCAATATTGATTCGAATGATCTATCCAGTGCATAAATGCTTGTTCGAGCTCTCTCTGGGACTATCTCTGCAAGTATTGGACTAGTGTAGATATACGGTTACAGTTCCTCAAAATAAAGACAAAAACAATCGATTAACAGAGCTAGTATCTTATGATCGAGTTGAGTATCCCCGACAGAGTCCTTGACTCTATCACAAGAGTGAATACACACACACACACATATTCAACACGTTTATATATGTTTCCAATTGATCTTGCATTCTTGCGAATACTCCATATAATTAAGTGTTGTTATTGTTGTTGTTGTTATTCTTGCTAATATAGTGTTTTTTGTTTCAAGTCCCGCCAATTTTGTTTTTTTTTTCATCTCTCCAATTCATGCTGTTTTCTTTTACTTCATATGTGTCTCCTTCGACATATTAATTTTGTGTCATTTCATTTTTCAAGTCATTAAGATGTACTCTCTCTGTCCCTTAAAACTTTGCAAAGTTTGACCGGTATGGGGATTAATAAAGTAAAAATTGTGTGGTTGACCGGAACCACATATTCTATACTTGAAAAGGAAAGTGGCAAAGTTAGTGGGACATCCACAAGAGAAAAGTTGAAGTTTTAAGGGACGGAGAGAGTATTTTAAAGAGCCACTGTGGCATACATTGATAATGAAAGAATATTTAGGTCTGCTTTAACTACCCTATAGTTTTCCAACAATAAGAAACTATTGATGTGAAAATATTTACGGTGCAATTTTGTAAAAAAAAGAACAAACCATTATGAAAACCTACTTGTTAGTTGCAGGACCATTCCAAGATATGCAAAACCCCATGACGAAAAACACCAAACCATGCAGAAATGGCGTGGAAGGATCATCACGCAAAACTAGCAGCAAAATTGCAGCCAAGGGGATGGCCGAACCAGAGCTAATCTGCGAAAGAACAATTCTTCCACCATTTGGAAAGCGTTTAGCAAGGACATCTCCCATCATCCCGCCAAACAAGCTTCCTAGAGATCCAGCAACATTAAATAAAGTCCAAAGTAGAGCGGTTGTTTTGTGAGAGAAGCCAACAAGCTCTAGCCACATGGGCGCAAAAGACAGAGATGACCATGGGAATGAGCCAGACACCCCTTGAGCAACAAGTATTTGGAAAGATGCTATCTTTAAAACTGCTCTCGCTTCTCTAATGATTTCTGCCGCTTCAGCGTGAAATGATTTATTGTGTGGAGAATGATCCTTCTTGTTTCCATCACTGTCATAAAAGAGGGGATCATTTGCAAACAGATACACCAAAACGCCAATAATGACACTTAGTAATCCAACTAGATGGAAAGATATTCTCCAGCCAGGTATACCCATAAAGGACGTTTCAGCTATTAAGGTTGATAAAAGCCCGCCAACGATCGCTCCAATGTTCCCAGTACATTGTAGCCATCCAAAAGCTGTGCCGCGGTTGCTGCTGTCCGTTGAATCAGCAACAAGAGATTGAATTGCTGGGGTAACTATAGCAAGCCCAATCCCATTCAAACCTCTAGAAATTGCTACCTACATATGGTATACCCATCGAACAACATAAGTAGACCATTAGTTTTATAATTTGGTTTATGAAAGTAACTTGTTAAAAATCTAAAATACTAAACTAATATATAAAATAATTGAACAGCTCTTCATATCAGTTCAATCGACTGAAGCTAGCTCATGTCCTCAACTCCTAATATGAAGTATAACTTTACAGCCAAATTTGATGGCTTTCCTTAAACTAAGATTCCTATTAGTATCAAGCCAAACATAACTAAAAAACACTTATAATTACTTACTTCGTAGAATTTCCTTTGTCCTGTTTAAGGTTCTTGTAATACAATCGAATTATTTCTCTTGCAACCCCTAATGTTATACTCCTTCCGCCCTGATTAAACTTCCAAATTTCCTTTCAGGGTGCCCAAAATAAACTTTCACATTCTCTTTTTGGTAAAGAATTTCCGGTTCAAAACAAATCTTACGCATTCTTACACATTTCTCTCTCTTCTACACATTTCTCCACCACACAATACACACTATCTTAATCCCTATGCCAAATTTACTTTGGAAGTTAATTTAGGGACGGAGGGAGTATATACTTCATCATTTCCGAATATGGCTTTTGCTATTCAAATCAAATCCTTGACTAGTTTAGGAATATGTAAATTATAATTATTAATATGAATACATATGAGTGCAAAACAAAAAACTAGTATGCACAAATGTGATAACATGCCGAAAAATACTACAAAGTGGGAAATAATGGAAGTGACTTTAAGAAATCTCATGATCACAGGTACAAATAGAAATCACATTTTGGCAATCAATTTCATTCCAATCCTGTATCTGTCATTATTTCTAAAAAACAACATAAGACTGTAGTGTTTGAGGCGGCGGACCTCGGCGAATGTGGAAGACATGGCAACGAGAAAGGTGGCGGCGGCCCAAAGAAAAGCTCCGACAGCCACGACGCGGGCCCGATTGTGGCGGGCGGCGAGGTAGGCCGCGAGTGGGTAGCAAGCGGACTGGACTATGGATCGGAGCAGTGTGAGCGAGCCCAATCGGGTCGGGTCGGCGTGCAGGGCAGCTCCGACCTCCTTGTAAACTCCGGGCAGCAAGGACTCGTCGGCACGCTCCATTATCGCCGCGAAGTTGACTAGGACCAAAGTCAACGATTCCGATCTCATTTCGTTAAGCTTCGTTGACTGGTGTAATAGTGTGATCGACTAGAGAAACGTTTTGTTTTTTCGGGTTTGAAAATGGATATGTTGGCACTGTCGTGATACGTGTCACTCTCAGGGTACATATAGCAGAACATTGACAGTCGGACACGTTAAGAATCATACTTAGTACCAGGTATATTTATTGTTATTACCCGATGTTCTAAAAGGCGCAAAGTGCTACCGAGGCAGATTAGTCAAACCTTAAGGGTTAGTTTGGTTCGAAGGTTTTGGGAGGAAGGGGAGGATATTTGAGGATTTATGCAAGTTTGGTTGGAGGAAATTGGAGGGGGGGAGAAACTTGGGAGACACTTAAAATCCTCCATTATCCCCCATTTTGAGTCCTCCAAATTGGGGTATTTCAGAGGATTTTAAGACACTCGCTGGCTTTTTAACGTGAATGGACAAAACTGCCCTGGTATATTTAGCTCTCAAAACGTCCTAATTTCTTCCCTTTGCGTCATTCAGAAGCAGTCGCAATCACGAACGATTCAGAAGTAGCCCATTCACGAACGAAGCAGCTGATCGTCTCACAAAGTCGCCGCCTGAGAATCGACAATCCGATATGTGAGTTCGTTATCTTCTCATTTTAGGTTTCAGATTCATGTATATCATAATTTTGCTGTGAATACAAATCTTATTCCTGAAGAGGATTCTAAAGATGACAAAATTAAGATTCAAGATGTTTATATCTACTTATTAGATCATCTGAAAGATTTCCTTATGAAAGAGCTCTGAGTTACAGTAACGTTGAGATACCTATATTTTTTTTTACTTGAATGATGATTGCCACTTCTGAAATTCACCAAGGGGAATTCGATTTCCTTTTTTTTCATGAAAGGACGTCCAGGACGCCCATTAACAAATTTGAAATACTTCTGCATTCAATAAATCATATACTTCATAATGCTAAAATTCAAATGGGTGCTTGAAACTTGTTACTTCCTTGGAAATGCTCAGCTCCGCACTCAAGTTTTTGAAATATTTACACTTATGAACACTCTGAATTGTTAAATTTGCATTAAAACATTGTATATAACAAAGATAAAGATTTGATTCGTGACCATTATGAAACTTGCTGTTGCGGGTTAGCGTTAGTTTTTTAGAGGGGGCATGTATAGTTGTGTATATCTTCCTATCCTATTTTTGAGTCCTCCGAATTGGGGTATTTCAGGGGATATCAAAGGCACGCTTGGTTTTGATCAAGGATGGTGGGATTTGATGTCTCCTTAGATAGTTAAATCTTTCTGCTAATTATTAATATAGCTCCAAATAAGTTAATTCCTACATTGGCTATGATACCAGGTTTGATGTTTAATAATTGATTTTTTAAAAATCCTAGAAATGAGAATGAAACCATTGAGTTATTTATGTTCTCTCCTAGAAAGAAATCCCAGATTTTTTCTCTCAACCTCTGTCATATGTTGGGTAGTTCACCCTTTCAGTTCTCTTTATAGTTGAAGATATGTGTTCTGACTTACCACATTTGTTTTCAAAATGCTATCACCCTTCAAAAATATATTTTAAATACAACATTGATATTCTAACCTAAAGAAGCTTCTATTGATTTTCTAAATATCATCAGTTTGACATTGAATTTGAGAATGGCTCGCATATTACTCTTTGATAGAATTTTTTATCTGTTCTTTGAAATTATTATATGTTATAGAAATAGTGAAGTCCAACTATGAGGGAAAACTTACTCTTTATACTTAAACCAATCCTTACTACTCGATACATACATTTCATATGTTTGTAAAAGCTTCACTTGTAAGACCATCATCATTATGCCTTTTAAACCCATTTAAAAAGTAACATATCAATTCTTTTAAAAGATCGTTACCTTGCAAGTAACTTATCAAGTCTAAAAATCTTTATAGCAAGTTTAGATATGTCGTATCTGATAGACTGATGGATTATTTAACTTAAACCAATAAATAGTTTTCTCTTTTACGTTAGTTAACATGATTTCCATTTCGATCTTCAAAAACTCAAAAATGAATGTTTATTCAATTAACTCAACAGAGTTCTGCTCTACATCCTTAATATGATATGTTACATTTTTTCGAGAAGATATTGTATTATAATATATAGTAATAAATGGGGTTATGGGGATTATGTCAATGCGTTACCAACCAGTTTTGCATTCAAGTAAATCAAAGAATATAATTTAAGTCACAAGCTTTAAGAATACAAACCTACAGTTAACAGTTAAAACTAAGAAACTAATAAGATTGTAATCCAAAACAAGTTAACAGCAAACTATTTAACAGTCTGCACTGCTCATTATAAGTACTACGTATATGCTTTGAGTTTAGGCCCTGTTCCAAATGAGATTTCTTTTCTCTTGTTCCAAATGAGGGAGGTAGGCAGTTGCTTATATTTTAAATAATGTAATGAGCAAAACCAAAATTTCTTCTTTGGTAGCATGCTTAGTAAATTTGTTTGAGTTGGTTTAAATAATGTTTTTTAGCAAATGAAAATTTTAAAAATAGTGTGGTTGCATGTTACTAAATCTTTCATCTCATTCTTTTTATCAAAGGAAGTTAAGAAAGTGGTTATTTTGAAAAATATTTTAACTGACTATTTTGGATGTGTATATTTATGGTATAGATGGATCACAAAACACCCGTAGGATGGTGTAACATGGTGCAAAACATGGTAGCTCACGTTCTTTGCCTTGTTTTTCAATGGTACTTCATTCAAATGTGTTATGCTAAAAAGAAAATAACATATACCATGAGCTCAGGAAGAGAACGAAATAGGGAAGAAACAATGACGCGTATTATGAGTAGTGAAGAAGGTCGCAATATAGTGAGTATGGGACCAGCAGCATTTCTTAGGTTATCTCAAATGTTAGAGAGGCAATGTGGCTTAAAACCTACACGACGGGCAAGTGTTGAAGAACAACTTGCAAAAACATTATATGTACTAACACATGGTGCCAAGAGCCGTGGGGTGAACTTCTGGTTTCGATGTTCTGGAGAAACTATTAGCCGTCACTTACATAACGTGATAAGAGCTATAATTAAACTAGGGGATCAATTTCTTATCCAACCCAATGGCACTACAATTTCAACCGAGGTTCAAGACAATGAAAGATTTTTCCCTTACTTCAAGGATTGTGTTGGTGCAATTGATGGGACACATATTCGTGTAAGAGTGTCCCCGAAAGAGGCCCCGAAGTATCATGGTAGAAAAGATCATCCAACCCAAAATGTCTTAGCTGCATGCACATTTGATTTGAAGTTTACATATGTTCTTGCTGGATGGGAAGGGACTGCCTCAGACTAGAATTATAAAAAATGCATTGGCGAGAGAGGACAATTTGAAAATTCCTACAGGTAAATTAGGTTTCCTTTTTAGCTATTCTACTATATAAGTAAATTTAATTTTCAGAGCCAAATATTTATCTTGATAATTGTTTCATTTTAGGAAAGTATTACCTCGTCGATGCTGGCTTCATGTTATCAAGATCGCTACTCACACCTTATAGAGGAGTACTATATCATTTGAAGGAATATTCTGCACGAAATCCTCCAAAAGATCATCGTGAATTGTTTAACCTTCGTCATGCATCATTGCGCAATGCTATTGAACGTGCATTTGGAGTTTTGAAAAGGCGGTTTGTTCTCATTTCAAATGATTGTGGTCCTCGTTATGGAATGAAAGTCCAAAATGGTATAATTTTAGCATGTTGCATTTTACATAATTATCTAATGACGTTTGACCCTGATGAGGAGCTTATAGCTGAGGTTGATGCTGAGATCGCCAGGCAAGAAATCACTTACGATGAGAATCACTTCAGAAGTAACAAAGAAGATTCTGTTCAAGGAGAGCGCTTAAGAGATAAATTGGCTATTGCGATGTGGATGGATTATAGACAGTAGTTTAATAAATACAATGCCATGTTTACATCTTAGATGTAGTTAACTCTACTTATTTGAATCATAAGTCATTGTGACCTAAACTTTTTCTTGTTTGGTATATGTTAACAATTGATGGCTATATTTATTATCGCACTTATTGAAGTTCAATTCATGTACATATTTCTCATGTTGTTCATTACTTGTAGCAATAATCACTAACTTAAATCAGGAATGACTATTATACGTGTAACTGGACTAATTATTATATTATCGTTATTAGTTCTTTTTTAATAATAGATTTGAGGTTTGATGATATATTTTTTTCTAGATAACATGGCTCCAAAAAAGGATGTTTCTAGTGATGGAAGCTCATCAAAAATGCTATTTTGGACGCCTGCTATGGATGAAACTTTGGTTGATGCATTCGTGAGTCAGTATAATATGGGATTGAAGGTTAATGGCACTTTCATTACCAAGGCGTACGATAACATTCTGGCTGAAATGAAAAGAACTTATGACATAAAAATTGAAAAGAGCCAAATAAAGAGTCGATGGAAGCTATTGAAGAAACACTTTTAAGAGGCTTATGACATTTTCAAGAATGGTATGAGCGGATTCACTATAGACCCAATAACACAAGCTTGGACAGCTGAACCAGAAGTTTGGGATGACCTTATCAAGGTATTGTTACAGTATACCCTCAAATGAAATTTTCAAATTATATCCTTGTTTTAATTTATTTAATTATTACTTATTCAAAAGAGAAGTTATTTTATTTTATTTTTATTTAGTTGCTTGTTTAGATGAAGTTTGTTTTCTCTATACTGATTGCATATGAATGTGTTAAATTTGGTTTATTCAATTTGGGTTGGCGTAGGTGAAGCCTCAAGCTAAGATGTTCATGCAAGCTCCTGTACCTTACTATGATAAAATGGTGATTCTCTATGGAAAAGATAGAGCTACTGGAGATCAATCAACAACTGCTTCGGAGCTTCGAAAGCGTCCTAGTTCAATTGGTACAGATGACTACAATGACTCTACCACTGATTCACATGTGCGTGTTGACGATGATGTTGAGATAACGTCTAATTCAAATAGTAAATCCACCAAAAAATCCAAGAAATCAATTGCAAAAGAGAAAGACATTCTTGGTGAAGGAATTAAGGAAGCAAT